AATATAGAACTTTGACAACATCAAATTCAGGCAAGGGATGTGAAACAACAGGAAATCTCATTCATTCATTTTGCCATTCAATGCAAATGGTACAGCCACTTTGGGAGAAAGTTTGATGGTTTATCTTTGTAAGAAAGTAAATATACTCTCACATGGGACCCAGGCAATCGCACTCCTCGATATTTACCCAAAGGAGCTAAAAACTTTTGTCTACACACAAATTTTTATAGCAGCATTATTCATAACTTCCAGAACTTGGAAGCAACCAAGATGTCCTTCAGCAGGCAAATGGATAAACTGTGGTACATACAGACAATGAAATATTATTTAACACTAAAAAGAAATGAGCCATCAAGCCATAAAAAGACATGGAGGAAACTTAAATGCATATTACTAAGTGCAAGCAGCCAATCTGAAAAGGCTACATATTGTTTGATTCCAACTATATGACATTCTGGAAGGCAACTCTGGTCACCACTATACCACCAAAGCACATATATATAATATTCTGGAAAAGACAAAACTATAAAGACAGTAAAAATATCAGTTGTTCCAGGGATTAGGGGGCAGGGGGACAGGGATAAAACAGTGGAGCACTGAGAATTTTTAAAGCAGTTGAAACTACTCTGTATGGTACTGTAATAATAGACACATCGTTATATATTTGTCTAAATCCACAGAATGTGTAACATCAACAGTAACCCTAATGTAAACTGTGGAGTACAGGTGATAATGATGTGCCAATGTAGGTTCATCAATTCTAAAAAATGTGCCTCTCTGGTGGGGGATGTTAATAATGGGAGAGGCTACACATATGTGAGATCAAAGAGTATAAGGGAAATCTCTGTACCTTCCACTCAATTTTGCTGTAAACCTAAAACAGCTCAAAATAAAAATAAAACATTCAATTTTTAAAATATAAATAAAGACTAAACAGCAAAAAAAAAAAATATATATATATATAGGAAATCCTTTCTTAGTTATCTATCACTGTATAACAAATAGTCCCAAAACTAATGGTCTAAAGCAAAAATAAACATTTATTATCTCACATTTTTGTGGATCCAGAAGGAGCAGCTTGGTTGAGTCGCCCTGGCTCAGGTTGCAGTTGGAATGCTGGCTGGGGCTGCAGTCATCTGAAGGCTTGCCTGGGGCTAAAGGATTCCCTTTCAATGTATCACTCACAAGGCACTGGCAGGAGACTTAAGTTTCTTGCTATGAGGACCTTGAATGCATTCATGACACTGCAACTGGCTTCTACCAGAGTGAGTGATCTGAGAGAGAACAAGGCAGAAACCACAATGACTTTTATGACTTAGAATCAGAGGTTATACATATTGCAATTTATTAGAAGCAAGTCACTGAGTCCAGCTCTCATTAAAGGGAAGGGGAAAGAAGCTCCACTTCCTGAAGGAAGAAGTGTCAGAGAATTTGTAGACATATTTTAAGCTATCATAGAGCCCATATTCACAAAAAGAAAAAATGCACACACATACCAAAACACATATAATATATTGAAAAAAGTCTTAAAGATAATTAAAGGCGCAAATACAATCATTTAAAATTCTTTCTCCTTTTTATTTTATTTTCTACTTTTTAAAAACAAACTTTTTTTATAATTATAAAAGGAAAAGTTTACAAGTTTTACAAATTTACAGTCCTAGATACTTGTGGTCAATATAGTGAAACATTATACTTAATCAGTAAGTCAACATGGACAGAATTGATATCTTTATTTATCCTCCTTTTCCATGAATTTGATATTTTTTTCCACTTATCTAATTTCTCTTGATTATTGTAATTTTCTCTAAAGAGCCTGTGCACATCTTTGGTTGAATTTCTTGCTGAGTATTTGATATTCTCCGACACTATTAAAAATTAGTTTCTTTTTATTATAGTATCTAGTTGTTGTTTTCAAAAAATTAATATATTTGCAGGTAACTCTTGTATCTAGTCAACTCCCTAAAGTCTCTATTACTTCTAATATTTTCCCTTCTAATATTTTATTTTGATTTTTTTATATAAACAATCTTATCTGAAAATGATAGTTTTATTTCTACCTTTCCAATCCTCATATTTCTAATTTCTGTTTCTTTAATTATTGCTTAAGGCTACAGACTCCAACATCATCTTAAAAAAAGTCATGATCATGGGTATTTTTGTTTCATTTCTTAATTAAATGAAAATACTTCCAAAATTTCCCCATTAATGAAAATATCTGCTATAATTTACTAGTTTAAGGAAGTTGTCTTCTATTTCTAATTTACAAAGAGGAATTTTTCAATTGTGAATTCAATGTTATCAAACTTTTTTCTGTATCTAGTAAAATAATTACATCGTTTTCTCTTATAATCTGTTAATGTGGGAAATTACGTTTATAGATTTTTTAAGTTAAGCCATGCTTTCATACTTGAGGTATACCCAACTTTGTCATGATATTGTTAACTTTTCATACACTGTTGGAGTCAATTTGCTAATATTTTATTTGGAATTTTGAATCTATATTTTTTAGTAAAATAACGCTGGAATTTTCTTTCTTATTGCATTTGTATTAGGATTAAAATTACTAATTTTGAGTATATCGAAAGTATATATTTTGCATAATTAAAAAAATGCCACAAATAGTTTTAAAAGAAAGAAGCTGGGAGAAAATATGTGCAAAATATGTAACTGGCATAAATTGGCATGCCAAATATATAAGTAACTCTCACAAATTGATAAGAAAAAAGACTAATAACCAAAATCAAAAGGGCAAAGGATATAAAATGAAATTCACAAAGAGGACAACCTAAATATTTAATTACATTAATCAAATATTATAAAAAGATTCTCAACCACACTATAGGGACAATACAAATTTATACAATAAGTATATACCATTTAAGAACCCATCAGAACAACTAAATTTAAAAACAAAAAACAAAAAACAAGGAAGTCCTGGTGTTGTAGACAATGCAAAAAAACCAGGAATTCCATCTCTGCTGGTGGGAGTGTTATTGATACTACCAATTTGTACAGCAATTTGGGAATATTTTGTGAAGTTTAAATATGCATGATTTATTTCCTAACAAATCTACTGCTAGAGAATCTGTCATTTAACATGCTCCAGGAGGGTGTAAAATTAGAACCTTAACAACCTCTCAGTAGGAGGATGGCTAACTGAACTGTGAGAGATAAAATGAATAAACTCTACCTGCTTATATCTATATAATACATCTTGAAAACTGTATATTAGGTAAACAAACACTAATGGTAGTGGGAAAAATAACATGTACAATATGGAACCATCTTTTGTATATCTTGAAAACATACAAATCAATGTCATATATTATTTATGGCTACAAATGAATGAGTTAAAATATAAAGCATGGATAGAAAAGATATACACCAACTTCATGAATTAGATGACTTCAGGGTGAAGAGAAAGGAATGGGGATGGACAAAGGGGTTTCCATTGCAATATTAAATGTTTATTTTTGCGGTAGAAGAAAATGTGACAAAATGTTAACATTTGTTGGGGCATCTGGGTGGCTCAGTCAGTTGAGCTTCTGATCTTGATTTCGGATCAGGTCATGATCTCGGGGTCCTGGGATCCAACCCCAGGAAGGGCTCTCTGCTCAACACAGAGTCTGCTGGAGATTCTGTCCCTCTCCTTACACTTGCCCAAGCTCTCTCTCACTCTCTCTCTCTCTCAAATAAATAAATAAATAAAATCGTTTCTTACATGTTAATATCTGTGGGGGCACCTGGGTGACTCAGATGGTTAGGCATCTGCCTTGGGCTCAGGTCATGTTTCCAGGGTTCCGATGTGGCCTGGAGGGGGCTCCCTGATCAGCGCGAAGTCTGCTTCTCCCTCTCCCTCTGCCCCACCCCACCCAGCTCGTGTTCTCTCTCTCTCTGAAATAAATAAAATCTTTTTTAAAAATGTTAACATTTGTTAATTTGATATAGAGCTTATTTTATACTTCTCTTTAGCTTTTTTCATATTTTTAAATGTTTCATAATTTAAAAGAACTTCTTTAGTAAGTATTTGATAAGTACGGTATTATATTACCACTCTTACTGTCCTTGAAACCTTTCTCTATGTATTCTCTTTGTGAGTGAATATTCCCTGGGCCAGTTTCTTCATCTGTAATATAAGAAGGGTGTATAGGTGATCATGGAAGATTCTTTCGACCTCAGATATTCTAAGTGCCTTCCCTTTCCCATCCCCCTTACACTTCCCTCCTCCCTGCTTTTAAGATTCACTACCTGAATCCATCATCAATCCATCTCCTTGTCCACTCTTTAAGTCTGCTTTTCTGAAGTCATTAGGAAACATTTAACCAAAGCATGCTCAGTATTCAACTTTAGAAAAGTTGAATACTCTAGAAAAGTTTTTTGTTTGGTTGGTTGTTTTCCATTTAAAATAAAAGTCCTATATTTTCATCTAGCATCTCTGACACAGAAGTTGTGTAGGAAATGGGAGGTGGTAATAGAAACCATGCTCCATGGGAGCAGCGGTGCTACTGCGTTCCTACTTGGGCGTCAGACTCCCGCCAAAGAGCAGCTAACTTTTGAATGGACTAAAATGAAGGCATCGTAACTCTTTTTACAATCTGGGCAGGGCAGTGTAGGGCGGAACACACTGTGCTCTCTAACTGGAGGTGGGGTGCAAAAGGAGGGTACAGGGAGAGAGGGCTGCCCAGATCAGAAACATCCTGTAGCATCCCGCCGTAGAAGAAGGGTGCATTGGCTGGGCAAGCTACCTTAGGAAAGCGCTCCGGGCTGCGGCAGCCAAGTGAGCTCTGGGCTGCAACCCGCGCTCCGGCGGGGCGGGGCGGGGGGGGGAGGCGGGGGGGACTGAGGAGGTGGGGCCAGGGACAACCGCGGGACCGCTCGCTCCCCTCTCCCGCCGCGCGCGGACTCCAGCTGTAGGAGGTCGCCGAGGAGGCTGGGCAGGCTTGAGTGGGCTATCGAGGCGCTCGAGCCTTCCAAGTACTGAGGACTCTGTAGCAGCCATGGGCTACCAGGCACAGGGGCCCGTCATCCCGCCGCAGGTAAAGCTGGAGCGTGGGGCAGCTTCTGCAGCCAAGTCCTTTCCAGTTTCATTCACCCTGCAATAGAGAGCCGCTAACTTCACCTGGGGTCTTGGTTTAGCACCGCGGAAAGTTCTCCAGGAGAAAAAGTTTTGCCTCCATCTGACTTTTTTTTTTTTTTTCTGACAGGCACTTTTCAGTATAACCCCTTTAATCTCACAAAATCGCATCATTGGCTCCCTAACAGATCCTGTATTCTGCGATTCCATGCAGCGGTCCTTGAACTTGGCGCAGCTGCAATTGGGACATTTTAGAATGGAATTTGTTTACAATGCTCTGTTGAATTACCTGTTATTGTTACTCTTTATTGTATTATACTGATCATTATTTTCTTATAGTTACTGACATTACTAATTATTACTACTAATGTCGTGTTGGTGACCTGCGTTGCATATTTGTCTGACACTTCTCTAATTTTTTGACCTAGTGAATACTTAATTGCCATTTTATATATTAAAATAGAGCAATCTAGATGACAGAGAAACCCTCGTTTCTGAACATAAGCACGAAGGGAAAACTTATCGTCAGTTCACAGCTGTTTTTAATGTTGTCAACTCCATTATAGGATCTGGTATAATAGGTAAGTGTTGTTTTGTTTTGTTTTAAATTTTAAGTGAAAAGACAAAATTTAAAACTCTTACCATGTTGCTTGTATTGATTATTTTTAAGGAAAAAATCTTAAATAATAGAATTGATAAATTTTTCCATAAAAACCTTCCTTTTTTTCCAATATAACTATGTGCATCAGAACAGTGTCTTTTATGCTGAAGATGGGGTCGTGATTCAGACTTTTTCTTCATTTGAGAGCATCCCCCATATGTGGTAGGCTAAGGTGGAACTGCATATGGGATATGCTGAATTTATTTTTGTAGGCTACATGGTCAATTGATAATGCTGCCTAATATACTTTTTCCCTCTTCCTGAAGGGTCCACCATTATTTAAACCACCTTTCTATGACCTTCTAAAGTGTAAATCTCCAGATATCTGGTAATATTGAAAGTACATAAGTTTAATGTGAAAACAACAATCTTGTGAAAAATTAAATCATACAGTATTTCCTTACCTATCTATCCAGTTTTAATTTTTAAGTACAAACTTATTATGATATATTAATTTTAAGTATCATTCAATCAATAAGTAGATATTGGTTGAATGAAAATGCATAGATTTTTTTAACAAAGGAGCCAAATAATCAGAATTGAAAGAAATGAGCAGCTCATATTTTCCCAGTTTGAACCAAGGGGAAAATTCTGACAAAATAAAGTGTGTTGCATTATAGTAATTAAGGCAATTACTTTTTCAGTGCTGATTATTCTTTTTTTTTTTTAAGATTTTATTTATTTGAGAGAGAGCGAGCACAAGCAGGGGGAGCAGTAGAGGAAGTAGGAGAAGAAGGCTCCTTGCTGAGCAGGGAACCTGATGGAGGCCTCCACCCCAGGTCCCCTGGATCATGACCTGAGCCACCCAGGCACCCCTAATTGTTCTTTTTTTTTATTTGAAAACATCCAGTTTAAGAAAAAGCAAGGACAAGACAAAATCCTGCAATATGCATTGAGAATACTTTTTCCTGTAAAATTTTGACGTAGTTACAGTCATTGAACATTTATCTGAATTGAGTTACTTTTTTCACCTTTTGCAAGCTGATGTGTTTCTTGATGTTACTTGTTTCCATATATAGACAGTTCTTTTTAATGGCACATAAAATAGAGGTACGTGAAGCAAAGTAATCAAGTAGGGGCAAAGATTTATTTGAAACTCTACCCCCATGAGCTAGGGAGGTGTGGACAGCTCTACTTGGCAGAATTCCAGAGTTAATTCCTGAAGTGAACACTTGAAGCTGATTCATGTAAGCAACATTAAAAAATAGCTCTTAATTATGTTTAGCAGATATTTTAAGGGAAAATTTTCCAGAGAATAAAAATTCTGGGTGGATATATTTTAAATATGTTTCATCTTAAATATTTTATTGCCCATAATCTAAAACTGACCATTTCCAAAAAAATTCATAAGAAATACTTTTATATACTGCTTCAGCTTTATAAAAAACACTTTTGATGTGCCCAGGTGGCTCAGTCGGTTAAGCATCTGCTTTTGGCTGAGGTCATGGTCCCAGGGTACTGGGATCGAGCCCCACATTGGGCTCCCTGCTCGGTGGGGAGTCTGCTTCTCCCTCTTCCTCTGATCCTCTCCTGGCTCCTGTTCTTGCTCTCTCTCTCTCAAATGAATAAATGAATTTTTAAAAAAATACATAAATAGTAAAAAAATTAAAAATTAATAAATAATAAAAAATATTTTGCCTTCTCATTTTTCTCTCCTGGTTACCCACTTGGATTCTGGAGTCAGTCTTTCTTCATATCCCATAATCCTTTTGTGCTCTTATTACCCTCTCTGCTTTCCCAGCTAGCATGTAAGGAAAGCTTTAGGTCATTATTTTCCATACATTCAAGGTCATATTCCCTCCTCACCCTGAAGTGAACTGGCATCTGTTTTTCATTTGCTGCTTTCTTATTCTTATTTCATCATCTCATAAACTTGCTCTCTTGACGTGTCCTTAGCTTGCATTCTCTTCTGAAATAGTATTAATATGCTAACATTTAATTTGAGTAGTAATATGCACTGTTTGCAATCATGTCCTATAAATATGTCAACTTACTTAGCCTGTTATATATAGGAATTGGGGGAAGCTTCTATATCTCTATATGTTTTATTAATGTGATGGGTGGGGCATTTTATATTTTCCCAGGATTGCCTTATTCAATGAAGCAAGCTGGCTTTCCTCTGGGAATATTGCTTTTATTCGGGGTTTCATATATTACAGGTAAAATACTATGTAATTGTTTTTTCCTGCAACTTAAATTGTGCAGTGATGATTACACACACACACACACACACACACAATAATTGAATTTCCTAATTAAGAAGTGCATCAAATAATCCTAAAGAATTCAGACATTTATGTCTGAGAAGATTTACTTTTCCTGCTAATCCCTTGAACAGATTAGAAAAGCATTATATATTACCAAGTCTAAATCCTTTTCATGTGCCTTTTTCACTTTATGCAGAGAGCGGTAGATGGGAGTCATTTTAAAGGCTGATTAATGCTGAGACTGCTTTGAAAGGGTAGACATCAGGCCTTCCCTTCCCACAAAAAACCTTAAGCAGGTGTACACAAATAAACAACTTTTTCTGGTTATTTTTGTGCAGGTAGAACTAAGAAAGGCCTGCTGCTCAACCAGCAGGGTTCACCACCCACTCCCCACCTCTCCTGTGCCTGCCCAGGCTCCCTGCCTGCCACTATCTTTAAGTACAGCAATAAGGTGCTTCTATATCACTTCTCTTCTGCTTCCCCCTTTTCATGTAACAAGTTCGTTCACACTCACGTTTCGCCATTCCTCCATCGGAGTGCAGGCTTTACAACTCATAATCACCTCCTCTTCCTGCTGTTCTCATCCCTGCCCTGTCACCCCACCAGCTCACCTCATGACAATCACAGGGTCCTTCCTCTACCTTAGGGTCACTGTGAAAAAGGCAGTGATCACAGATAACCCCTGCAGTGGTTGTTTTTATGGTGGCCACTATATGCGGTCACTTAGATGCCCTTTTACCAGGGAATGTAAAACACCTCAGCCTTGTTTTTTCAGTATTGACCTGGCTCTCAGTGGCACCACCTTTCTGTGAGGTTATGATCCCCAGCCACCGTTTCCCCACAGCCCTCAGCCTAAGACTGACTGATAGGAACCCAAAAGCTGTGCGCACTTGCGCGCACACACACCTGCACCCCTGGCCCCGGGAGACCAATGCTTGTTGCAGGTGCAGCCAGTCTCCACCGGAGACCACCTCCCTGCTGAACTGTTTCCCCTGCCCTATCCTGTCACGCCCATTCTCTTGAAGAGCACTCCCTCAAAGTCCCTTGTCCAAAAATCTCTGACCCATCTCTGCTTCCAGAGACCCTGACCGAGATGCCATGCCCTCAAAAAATCTCAGGTTTTTGGGGCGCCTGGGTGGCTCAGTCGTTAAGCGTCTGCCTTCGGCTCAGGTCATGATCCCGGGGTCCTGGGATCGAGCCCCGCATCGGGCTCCCTGCTCAGCAGGGAGTCTGCTTCTCCCTCTCCCACTCCCCCTGCTTGTGTTCCCTCTCTCGCTGTCTCTCTCTCTGTCAAATAAATAAATAAAAATCTTAAAAAAAAAAAAAAAAAATCTCAGGTTTTGAAGACCAGCCTGTAACTCTGCCATTTTTCCCCCTCAGGCTGAGGAAGAGAGAGTAAAGCACGCCATAGATACCAAAGTCAGAGCTGCAGAAGCACCGGACTGCCTTCCTCCCTCCTTTCTTCTCACCGCCTGTTCTCCCCAAACCTAAGCTGCTTTGAGCTTCTACAGCTCTTACTTTGTAGCTTAAGACCCATAACATAGTAAGGTGGGACCCGTAACGTTATGCTTATTCAGAGTTGATGGTGTTTAAAAACTGCACTTCATTCATGAGAACATTCATCACACTAAAAAATCCCATTCAAGGATGACCCTTGTAGTTTTTAATTTCCTGTTTCCCAGTCAGTCAGCACTAACAATTAATTTCCGCCCAGGCATAATAACCATGGCTTATTTAAGTACATTGTAAACATTTATGCACACTGTAAACCAGTAGATAGAAAAAAATTAAAAAATACATATCACCTAAGAATTAAATACTTGAGGTGAATTAAGTCACATTATACACAAATAAATCATAATGTGAATAACTTTCTCAACTAATGCTATGCATAAACTTACAGCAAAGTTTGTAAGCAGCCCTTTGCAAAGTCATATACTACAAATTTATTAATCAGTAGAAATTAGTTACTCTTGTTCAGCTGAAGATCAAAATCTTTAAATAATTTAATGAATAAAGGATGACCACACAGAAGCAAAAAAATTTATAGACTATGATTCATTTTATTTCTTAATTAGGCTTTTAAGAGGAAAATCTACAAGTAGGGTATAATACTGAGTTTTTCTTTAAATTGACACTGTAATTATACAATGGTTTTTCTCTAGATGCTTTTGTCTTTTTAAGGCCTCTAATGAGATATGTCCAGCTCAGCAGGTAGTTTTTCTAAGTTCTGTTTCCATGTTTGTGAAATGTTGGGAAATAAGAAAAAATTACTGATTTAAAAGAAAATTTTTATGTTGAATGACTTGGACTCATTCATGGATTTATCTAAAATTTTCATGCAATATATTTAAAGTGAGATCAAAATGTTGTATTGATTGATATTTCAGATTCCTAAAGCTCTTAAGGTATATATTTATAGCTTGTACTTTACAAATAGAGAAACACATTTATTACTGACTAAATTCTTAGCAAATTGTTAACTTTAAGCAATGTATTTTGACCTTTTATAAAAGTCAGCATTCTCATCCCAAACATACAGTTCTTCACCAAAACTTCACAACATCTGTGAAACTAGTTACCTCCTCTCTGTGACTGAGGTCCTCATTCTTTCTCTTCGTTGGTCAGTAAGTTGCTGTTGAGTTTTCCTGCCATTAGCATCTGACCATTTCCTGATGAGTCTTCCATATTGCTGCAGAATTACCTTCACAAAACCTCAGTCTGGTCTCTTTCATGTCCCCAGTCAAGACATTCCATTACTGTATAATGACAATAGAAAAAAAATTATTGCATTCAAATTCCTTCATAGCTCAACCACAATCTGAACTTTTAGTATCATCTCCAATTAATCTAACCTCTCTTTCACATAGTCACCAACATTACCATGTGTGGAAGTTATGTTTTAGCCATTCTGGACTATTCCAATCCCTGTAGAATGTGCTTTCATGCTGCCTTCCCATGGATAGTCTCCCTACTTGACATTCTTTTTCTTCCTTACCTGGTGAAATCCTGTATCCAAGACCTACTCCTCTGTGAAGCTTTTCCCGGTTTTAAACAAAGGCAATATAATTAATTGCTATATTCTTTGTGCTTGCAGAGTATTTTAAAATATGCTCATTAGGCCATTTATCACATTAAATTTTAATCAGATATGTAGACATCTAGCAATCCTGCTATACTGACTTAATCAACAAATATTTAGTGACATTTCTGCCATTATATCAGTGAAGAACATTATTCCTGCCTGTTGAAGCTCACAATGTAGTGTCAGGCAGACAAAAACAGAATTATAACACTTTATGAAAAACACCATATTAAAAATATGGGCAAGATGATAGGGATATTGGCATTTAACCCAGTCTCAAAGGAGCAGGCATATTTTGGGGACAAAAAGACATCTCCACTGACTGTTTATGAGAGAGCAAAGAAAATGGAAGGGTACTCCAAGCAGATGGAAATGTAGAGATGCAAAAGGGAACTGTGTGAGTGATTCCATCTGCTTAAGCATAGGGTTGATGTTTGTAAGTGGAAAGGGAGGAAGTTAGAGGTTTGCAGAGGCATTTATGAAGGCTCCCATGTAATAATCATTACCACTTCCTGAGGACTGGCTTGATGCTGAGCGTAATGCAGCCACTGTACTTAATCCTTCTGACTCTATGAAATAGGTATTCGTGTTCCATTTTATGGAGAGAGAAATTGAGACTTTAAGAGGTTAAAATGACTTGCCCAAGGTTAGCAGTTACTGACAACAGAGTTGAAACTTTGATTAAGTGCATGGATTTTAGAGCCAGACTACCAGGATCTGAGTCCTGACTCTTCCTTTCTAGCTCTGTGAAGTTCAGCGATTTGCTTAACCTTCTATGCCTCGCTTTTCTCATCTGTTAAAGGGGGAGTGGAGGGTAATAACTGCACCTAGTTAGAGTTGTTGAGAAGCTTAAACAAGTCAATATGCATAAAGCACTTAAGAAAAAGCTTGGCATACAAAAAGTGTTGTGAAAGTATTTGCTAGTATTTTTGCGATTCTTCTCATTGTTATTATTATCAGACTCCAGATACAGTACTTTTTCCACCACCAGATGCAGCCTATAGGAAACAGCCAAAAGTAGCACAGGCTCTCATTCATTGTGCCAGGCATTGTGGTAGACATGTAAACATTAACCCTCACAGACTCATCAAGGTTTGGTGTATTGTCTTACATTACAGATGAGACTCAAGAAAGTCAAGTCTTTCACCCAGGATCACGTAACTAATAAATCATTTTTTCTGCCTCATGAAAAGGATTTTTTTTATCCCAAAGTATTAGAGGATTCCCCTGGAGGATTTTATTTTTTTTAATTTTTTTTTTAAAGATTTTATTTATTTATTCATGAGAGACAGAGACAGAGAGAGAGAGGCAGAGGGAGAAGCAGACTCCCAAGGAGCAGGGGGAGCCTGATGCGGGACTCGATCCCAGGACCCTGGGATCATGACCTGAGCTGAAGGCAGACGCTTAACCATCTGAGCCACCCAGGCACCCCCCCTGGAGGATTTTAAGCAGAAGACAAGATCCGATTTATGCTGTGGTCAGATCCATCTGGTACAGGAGGGATGTCAAGAAAATCTTGGTAGGGTAGGGAATGTTAAAAGTGTTTTGAAGAGGGGCCAGATTTGTAGATGAGAGAACTATTAGGAGTTTTTGCAGTAATCCAGGTGAGAAATGATAAAACCCTAAAATAAAGTAGATTAGAGATTAGAAGTGAGGGGACACCATTGAATAATTTATGATGCAATAGTTAATGGATTTGGTGAACAAAGGAATATAGGAGGTGATGGGTAATGAGAAGTCTAGGGTGATGCTCAAATTTCTGCTGGTACTGTTCACAGTTTGGAGAAATATAGATGGAGAAGCAGGTTCCAGAACGAATATATAAATCAGAATTTGGACATTTAAAATCAAGATGTCTATGAGATCTCCAAGATAAAATGTCTATTAGAGAGCTAGATATAGAAATTTGGAGTTTTGGAGGAGTCTAGGTTGAAGATAGAATTTTAGAAGGGTTAATAACATCTGTGTGAAAATTAAAGCTGTAGGGATGAATAAGACCACAGTAGGACATTTTGAAGAGTGAGAAAAAAGTCCAAGAATCCAGGTTTTAAACAGAGTAAAAGAAATTGTGAAAAACTGTATATGATTGGTCAAAAAGGTGGGAGGAAATTCAAAAGAAAGTGATGTCACAAAGGCCAAGGGAAGGTGATTGAGGAAGAGGAGAATAGTGAACAGAAAAAAAAAAAACCAACTGCTATAAAATAGCAGATTAGATTAAGATTTAGGAGGTGTCGATTGGATTTATCAAATTGGAGCTCACTGATGAATTTGTTGAAAGAAGATTCAATGATGTGGGAGGGAATCAAGGTGGAAAGCACGATGCAATGATTTCTATTTTCTTCTTTGTATTTTAATGCATTTCCAAATTATTTAAAGGATAAAAAAAATCAACTGTGATGGAAGCATGAGCAAGAGAAAAGAAAAAACAAGAATCACACAGCTGTGTACCCAGTACAACTCAAGTGTCGTTCATTAAGTGCAAAAAACATTGAGTTAAATGAAAAAAAAGGGGAGATTAACTTTTAATTACATAATTTCTGTATATTTGCATCTTCAATTTCAACTCTAAAATGAGAGCTTAAATCTTTAAAATGTAAATTTAAAAAAATTCTTGGAGTTCTCTCTTAACCATAACTATAAAATAAAGTTACTAGTTGTACTTTGTTATAAAACAAATGATCTGATTCTCCTCAATCTATTGTTTTTCTGAATGCTTACATCATTTTTCATTCTCAGTTTTCACACATTGAACATCTATGAAATATTTGATTACCTACATTCTGCTGCTTGGACAGTTGAGCCGCATCCTGTTAATAGTCGTTACACTAGTTAGGTTAGGAAAGTAAAACCTGATGCTTTGACTCTAGTCTGTGTACCCTCTTCTGTCCAGTTCATTGCACAGAAATGTTAAGTGTATTTGCATCTCAACTGAAAAATATATAACTGGAAACAGTACTGTTTCATGAAAGGTAATGTTTTATGAACAGAAAGTAAGCCTTGCCAAGCCAATTGACTATAGCATTAAATTAAACTCGTTAAAGTTTCTCTTTCTTTAAGTCAAAATACAAAAAGCTTTTGTATTAAATGTAATCTGACATTTGTTTAATGGCTGTTTTTGCCACAGACTTTTCCCTTGTTTTATTGATAAAAGGAGGGGCCCTCTCTGGAACAGACACTTACCAGTCTTTGGTCAATAAAACCTTTGGCTTTCCCGGGTATCTCCTCCTCTCTGTTCTTCAGTTTTTTTATCCTTTTATAGGTAAGTTGAATGTGAAAATGAAAAGCGTAACTCTTTCATAAACATACAACTATTTCTGAAGAAGGTAGTTTTAATAGGAGATTAAAAGTGAATAGGTAAAATAATAGATTTCTTCCGCGGCTGAAATATGTTTTTTTGAAAACCTAAGGGTTTGTGGAAGCCATGTACAAGGCCAACATGTAATTTAAAATCTGTACCATAATGGTGAACATGTCCTCTAGCACTTCTTAGGTAAATTGTTAACATTCACCAATGACTAAATTGACATCATTTTTTAAATCAGTAATACAGAATCTATTGGTCAAACCATTAGCTCCTTTTTAAAATTAGGGGATATTTGGGAACCTTCACAATTTTCTATTATTGTTCCTCACTTTGAGCAATGCATGTATTCCTGAAAACATATGTGGAAACCGAACTTTTGTAACAAAACAAATCACATTTTAAATGACTACGGAAACTCACTATTATTTAAAGTTGTTCTGGAAAGAATCAATTCGTGAAGTGAAAATGTTTTTGTAATATAAATTGATATTCTCCCATATATTTGTTGTCTAGTTATTTTTTGAAATTATACATATTTATAGTCACAATATATATTTGAAAGAATTAGGATTATGCCAGTATTTGGGAATAATGGATTACTTTCAAAATAGTTAACGGGTATTAAGGAGGGCACTTGTGATGGGCACCAGGTGTTGTATGTAAGTGATGAATCACTAAATTCTACACCTGAAACTAATATTACACTGTATGTTAACTAACTGGAATTTAAATAAAAACTTGGGGGAAAAATAAAGTGTATTTAGCAAAAAAAAAAAAAAATCAAAATATTCAAGACGAAATATGTGATGGCTCCTTGGTAACTGTATTGTTTTAATTATGTTTTTAGCTATGATAAGTTATAACATAATAACTGGAGATACTTTGAGCAAAGTTTTCCAAAGAATCCCAGGAGGTGAGTCAATGTATATATTTTATGTATTATTCATAGTTAATGCTGTTCATACTAATTTACAAGCAAAATATTTGCAAGTGGAAGAGTTGGATGACTTCAAGTATCTGGCAATATCCATGATCCATTCTGATCCTAAAGCATTAATCTACTTTTATATATAGTTTAGTTCCTCCTTAGCTGTTTAGAGGATATCATTACTATTCATATACTTAAAATACTTTGTATTTTAAATATCTAATTTTACATATCACCAACTCTATGTAGTAACATTTTTCACGTCTTCTTTTTACAATGCCATTTCTAAAATAAGCAAGCTGACTTTTTTCTCCATTATTTGTATTAAAATATAATTTAATATAGTAAAATTAGCCCTTTTTACTGTTTAGTTCTGTAACATATAGTTAGACAAATGCATATATAGTCATATATCCACAACTACAATCAAAATACAGAACAATTCCATCACCCACCCTCCAAAATTTTCCTTATTTCCCTGTGTAGTCAAACCCTCCCTAATCTACAGCTCCTGGCAACCACTGATCTGATTTCTCTCCCTAGTTTTGCTTTTCCCAGAATGACAAATAAATGGCATCATATAGCATGGAGCCTTTCAAGTCTGGCATCCTTCCTTTAGTATAGTGCATTTGAGATTCATCCAAGTTTTGGGTTGTATCAGTAGTTTGCTCTTTTTTTTTTTTTTTTTTTAGCTGCTGAGGAGTATTCCATCATATGAATGTATAACAGTTTATCTATCTCCCAGTGGAGGGACATTTGGGTTGTTTCATTTGGCATGATTCTGAAAAACCATTATGAACACTTCAGGCAGACCTTTTCAACATGTGCCACAACCCCATGCCCTATTCAGCCTTTCACCATATCATGGCAGTTTGAATAACTCAGACATCATGAGTCTTTTTTTTTTTGAAGAGCTTCTCACCCAAGCCACACAATCCTCATTTCATAGTGACCTACTCGATAGTTGTTATCATAGTTTAAAGTGATGCAAAAACACCTTTCCTCTTAGTGCTGAATCACTCCTTCTAGAGACATTACAAACCAAAATAAAACAAAACCTAAAACTAGAAATTGCACCTATTCCTTTCACAGAGTTTAGTGGAAAAGGAAATCAGGGAGACTTGACCATCAAATCACAGACCCACTGCTTGCTCTATGTGATCTTGAGAAGGTTAATGCCCTCTCTGAGTTTTAGTTTCTTCATCTTTAAATTGTGGAGTATAACCTGCTTCATAGAATTATTGTGGGAAACAGCAGAGGTAATACAGACAGTGCTTGGCATATAGTAGGCTCTCCCAACACTGTTAGCTCTTAGCAGCAGCTTCCGTTCTAGCCCCCAATTGCAAACCATGTTTTCATAAACTGAGATCACGTGAGTGGGTAGAATACTAAGGAAAAATGCAAAGAATATAATGTCATATATAAAATATGACCTCATCATGTAAATTTTCTATTTTCATAAACAACTAAGAAAAAACAAGAAAAAAATATATTCACATGTAAACTGTGATTATCTTTTAATTGCAGGAGTCATGAGATTTTTTGTTTCCTTTGTTGTTTTGGTTTTTCAAAGGAGCATATATTAATTTAGAAAAATCTTTTTATAACTTTATTTTCATTTAAAATGCTTATTAAGGTGTATTTTTTTGTTAGAAGATCAGGATAAATAATAGATCCATCATTAGATCCTTATTTAAAAATGTCCCTTATGGTAATAGAGACCCTTTGTTAGTAGGCTCCTCTCTGCTATTCATAGCATTTTATTTCAGTGTTTTTCTAGGACTTAGAATTTTCCCAGTGAAGGAAATCTATATTTTCTACCAAACACATTGGTAAAGCAAATGATTTGAAAGGGTAAACAGAAACAAATATACAAATAATTTAATTCAAATTATGCTCACCAGAAATACGTAAATAGTTGAGTTCAAGTTTTCGGGAACTTGAACTTCCTGTTTTAGCGTTTTGATTCACAACTTTATGATGATTGTTTAGTTATATCTGAGTTAAGCAAATATTCATGATTATTTTATTACAGTGTATACATACGCATGTCACATTTATACCACTTTGAAATTGTATCTGGGAACTTCCCTGTGAGTTTATTAACCATACAAGAAAATTAGTCTCACTTACTTTTCCCGGTAATAGCTTTCTTTTTCTTTTATCTTTTTTTTTTTTTAAACCACACTCACTTGCTTATTCTACAGACTTTAGACTTTGCAGAAATTAATGAACAAAGACTTGGTGCCACTGGGGACATTTCAAAAACATAATGATATGATCTCTGAAAGGAATTCAATATGAGCTAAAAAATGTAAGCAGTGGTATCTTCCTTGGAATAGATATATAGCTCCCGAAGTTAACACTGTGATTAGCACAGCCTTAAAAATATATAAATCCTTGGAAGTATGTCTTATTTTATGTTTACAGCTTTTGTTTGTATTTGATGATAGGCACACTTGCACACACAACCCCCCCAACACACACACAATTATGTACTCATTGTGATAGCGAAGACTCTGCAGCATATACCAGTTTCAGCAGTGCTTCCCGATGGTGTCCCTATATTGCCTCTGTCTCCTTTTCTTCAGGGAAACCACTTCTTTCTCAACAAAAGTGTAGAAATAGAATATTTTTATCTAAAGCTTGAGTCTTGAAATTTCAAGCTCTACTGTTTAAGTCTCTCTAGGATACAGAAGTTAAAAAAGAAGAAAAAAAGCCTCAGAACATGCCCTCTCCTCATGTAGCTTACTTCCTAGAGAAGGGATTTGCCATTAGAGGGTTTTGGACAAAGAGTGACATTGTGTTTTTAGCCTTGGGGAAGGATCTCTGTACCTTCCAGATTACAAGTATATTCTAAGGGGGATAAAGGAAGGGTAGAAGCAGGAAAACTGATTAGGAGGCTATTAAATAATTTGAATGCAAAATATTATAAGATTATTTGAACTATAGGTTCATCCTTAAGTTTTTTGTATTTACATTTTTGTGAGTTATTTCTATTTTTACATGGTTTTATGGGATTTATTTACTTAAAATCTTTGTCATTTTGATAAAATTTAAAGTTATTTAAGTCATTTTTGCACTTAAATATTTGACTGCTTACTTGTATCGCTGGTGTGTTAACTCATACCTATAAAGACTTTATAATATTTGTTGTGTTTTAGTTGACCCTGAAAACTTGCTTATTGGTCGCCACATCATCATTATGCTTTCCACAGCTGCCTTTACTCTGCCTTTGTCCTTGTATCGAGATATAGCGAAGCTTGGAAAGGTAACTTACATCTAAGGCTCAGAAATGCACTTTGTTACCTGCACTAATTTCGTCAAATGACTGTCTATGTAACCAAGTTCTTCATTACAGTATTTATTTTAGTTTCTTTCTTACCTTTCTTTCTAAGGTAGATACGCTGATGTCAGACACTATACTTCCAATTTAGAAAATAAAAAGAACTATACTGACACCAAGTCTAATTCGCTGAAAAAAATGTTTTATCATTTTTTACAGATAGTAGTTTAAATAATTTAAATTTAGACTAAATTTAAGAAGTAAGGATGAATCACTTCACTGGCTCAAAATTTTTTTGTAAACTAGAGTGTGTTTCATCCAGTGAATTTAAATATCAATGTGTCATTAATTCATGAGAATTTGACCAGTGTATATGATTCTTATTGCTAAAGAGAAATGATGATGCATTTCTAATGAAACCAACCAAATAATTATTCAACTCACCATATAGGCTCATCTGCATAGGTTAGCCTTTATCTACCTGTATTTTTACTTCCTTACTCTCAAGGAGTGTTGGAGTGTTTGTATTTTACGCAAAATATTATTGGCATTATATTTACATTATGTCAAGCATTCTGATGAATTTTTTTAAAAAGTTTTTAAAAAGAGCTATTTATATATTTTTATGTTCTAATTTGAAAAGTCCAACAGTTGAGTGAATTTTACTTTTCACTGTGACCCGTTTCATGTGTATTCACAGTTATGGATCCTTCCTTAAGGATCCTATTATGGATCCTATTGCCCACAGTCCTTCCAGGTAAAGCTGAGAGTGGAGATGATATTCCAAATATTCTGACCACTCTTCCTTTGTTCCCTAACAGACTTCCAGAAATAAATAAGAGTCCATCAAAAGCGACTTTTTTGTGAATTATCTGAAATGCTGAACAATTTTCCATTTCCCATGTTGTAGACATAAATGTTATCTTCGGAGAGCAGAAGGCCAGGCATTCATGAAAATAAAGCTAATATTCTATCATATTATTAATACCTGAACATCTTCCCCTAAGTGTCTCTTAAAAGTGTCATATTGGAATATTAAGTAAATCTCCCAGTGAGCAAACCCAGAGTAGCTAGGAGCCCTGATCTGGAGTCAGGGTCCTTGCATTTGAATTCTCCTTCTGCCACATTCTAGCTGTGTGACCTTGGGAATGTTACTTAAAATCTCTTCCTCAGTAGAGGACTCATAACAGACCCTTCTTTCTAGTTAAAAACTAATAACCCAGGAAACAAGGTTAATGATATCCAAAGAAACAGAAACTATTTTACATTATGTTTTTTCATATTAGAGAAAGAAATCTAAAATGTGCTTATCCATTAAAAAAAATTAAGGGCAGAAACAGATCTAATAATGAGTGCACAGAACACTCTATACACACAGACCAGTTTATATTTTAACCAGTTGAAATAGTGACAGAATAGAAAGGAAAAAGCAAAGACTTTAGAAACACAGACCAAAGGGCAAAATCAAACAGGAAAAATAGACTAACAGAGCTAAAGAACAGAAAGAAAAAAGGAGAGGCACCCCAAAAATGTGTGTGAGTGAGTGTGTATGGGGGGGTCCTGTCTTGATAGGTAGAGGATAAGGTAAAGACAGAAGCAGAAGAAGCAGTTATAGATAGAAAAAAGCACAAGTCATCACCAAAACAGGACCTGAAGAAGAAAGAAAAAAACTTCCCTTTGACTTTTATAACCTAAAATCACCAATTTTGTATTCTATTCAGTAAGCCACTAAAACATTTAAAGCTATGTCGCAAGATTAGTTATATATACTTGCCTCCCTATTTGGGGAAAAAAATAATACTGTGGTCTGATAAAAAGTTACATGTCTGAGATTATCAACAGTAGTCAGTAAGAAAAAACTACTGCAGGATTATATAAACAAAAGCTGTATATATGTTTACTCAAGTAAAAAGAGAAACACCTAATATTTTCAATTCAATAATCTCTCTTCCAAACTGACCATATCTTTACATTTTCTTTTGCAGATCTCTTTTCTTTCGACAGTTTTAACAGCTCTGATTCTTGGAATTGTAATGGCCAGGGTAGTCTCATTGGGTCCATACATGTAAGTTTTGTTGCTATATTGGTTAGTCTTTAATTTATAGCCTTCACATAGATATTTATGTGACATATTGCAAATGCTGAAGTATAAAGTAATCATGGTACCAGAAGCACCATTTATCTTAAGTATTTGACAAAATGAGAGAAGATAATTACATCTAAGTGGACAGGCATTTTTCACTTGGCCCCTCCATGGCTGATGAGATTAAACTGAGTTCACTTTGCATGTTAATGACTGGTCCTAAGAATTAGAATAAGGAAGAGATCTCGAATAGTGAGAAATAGGAATGAAGTAGAGCACTCGGGAGGGAAAATGGTAAATGGCAGAAATTTTTGTATCTATCCCAGAGATGGATTTGTTCTTAACAAAGTTTCACCAATATAGGCTGAAATGAGAAGAATAAAGAATATAATGGAAGTTTTCTCCATTAGAGGAAATGTAATCACTTTGCAAACCACCGTTTATTCTCTACTAAGATTATATTCTCTGATTATTTTGTGTTAAAATGTTTGTCATTTGTGAACTGATGGTGATAGTTTGTGAATGTTACCTGTGAGGGGGGAAAGAAAAGGAAACCTGTTGAGTAACTATCTGTGATAATGTGGTTCCCAAGGTAACTTCTTTTTCCTATTGATTAACTGTCCTGCAAGATCACATCATTTTCAACTTCATGTGCTTATGTCTGGCTTCTTAGTCTACCAGGAAAGTTCCAAAAATTATGCCTCAAACTTATTTTGAAGGAATTATGAAACATCTAGTCTAATTGCATGTAATACAACCTTTACTTTGAAAAAAAACACTTAGGGCGCCTGGGTGGCTCAGTCGTTAAGCATCTGCCTTCGGCTCAGGTCATGATCCCAGGGTCCTGGGATTGAGTCCCACGTCGGGCTCCCCGCTCAAGCGGGAAGCCTGCTTCTCCCTCTCCCACGCTCCCTGCTTGTGTTCCCTCTCTCGCTGTCTCTCTCTCTGTTAAAAAAATAAATAAAGAAAAAAACACCTATTTTTTTAAAGGATTGAAATAAAAGAGAAAAGCATAAATATCTATCATGTTTATATTAATGTTTTCAAATAACTGAATCCCAGTTCATGATTGTATTAGCTCGGGCTGCCAGAACAAAATACATATAGAGGTCTTAAACAACAGAAATTTATTTTCTCATAGTTCTGGAGGCTGCCAGCAGTCAGGTTTTGGTGAGAGGTCTCTTCCTAGTTGTAGAAAGTTCCCTTGCTGCTGTGTCTTCACAGGGCAGACAGGGAGAGAAAGAGCAAGCTCTCTGGTATCTCTACTTATACGGACACTAATCCCATCAAGCATGCCCTGTCCTCAAGACCTCCTGTAAACCTAATTATCTCCCAAAGTCTCCATCTCCAGATACCATCACAAAGGGGCTCTGGCTTCAATATACGAATTTTTGGAGGGGACACAATTCAATCCTTAGCAAGTTTTAAAAACGCATCCAGTTCCCTTCACTGTGGCCATTTATTCTCTCATTTAGTGAACGCTTACTGAATGCCTGTTGTTTCTAGCTATTTTGCTGCACCCTGAGAGAAAAAGAGCAGAGAGGCAAAAGTCAGCACCTGTTGCAAGTTGTTCACAATCAAGTAGTGAACATTTTAAAAACAAAAAAGCAGAAAAAGAAACAGCAGTGCAGTAGAAGTGCAAAATAGAAGGATTAGAGCAATAGCAGTGCCAAAGGAGAGAGTGCTTAATAGGAAAAAAAATACGATCTGGGTGTTTTGAAAGATGAATCTGAATTGTTTCAGATAGAGAAAAGCGTAAAAGGCATTCCCGGCCCAGGAAAGGTAAACATAAAAGCACAAAAGCATATGTTAAATTCTACTGACATTTATTTATTATCTACTGTATTGGTACTGTATTCATCTCTGATTTTCAAAAGCTGAATTTATACAACAAGAAGCCAATAAATATATTGAACAGAATACAATAAATAAATCTTGGTTAATGGTTTTAATTGTGTAAGGCAGAATTTTTTTTAAAGATTTTATTTATTTGACAGAGAGAGACAGCGAGAGAGGGAACACAAGCAGGGGGAGTGGGAGAGGAAGAAGCAGGCTCCCCGCGGAGCAGGGAGCCTGATGCGGGGCTCGATCCCAGGACCCTGGGATCATGACCTAAACCAAAGGCAGACGCTTAACCAACTGAGCCACCTAGGCACCCCAAGACAGAACTTTTTTATTGGAGCTATTATGAAAAGTGATTCTAGACAATAAATTATTGGGTTATAATAAAAGGTCTTATTGATTTGGCAAATATAGTACCATGAGGCAATATTGAGGGAAAAAACCCAAGTAGCTAAAAGTTGGAGATAAATAATAATTAACTGAGCCCCAAGGGGTTACTTTAAAACAATGATTTTCAACTTGAGCATCATATTAGAATTACCTGAGTAGCTTTAAAAAATACTGATGCCAGGGCCCACTTCGAGAGATTCTGAGGGATTTGGTCTAGAAACCAATTCATTATTGAACAGCTGTGAATTTGCAAGCAAGCATCTAGAACCTCTAGGTTTCAAGAGATTAAAATCATGAGTATACATTTGAACTGATATATCATTTCTAAAAATAGACCATAGATTTTGTGTTATTTTAAGCACCCTTGTGCCGTTATTTTTCATGATTCATTTCCCACTTATTGTTTTAGTACCTTTTTTTATACAACCTGTGTGTGAGATACTATTGTGAATACAAGGAGAAAATATCTCTGCTCTCAAGGGGCTCACCATTTAGTGTGGAAGCTAAGGTTGCACAAATGACTGTCATATAGGCAAGTGTATCTTGATACAAAGGAAAGAGAAAGGAGAGGCCACTTCCTGGTGGTGCTAAATGAATTGATTTTACGGCCAAAGAGCTATTAATTTCTGTTGTAAACAAAGTGTGGTCTGTATCTTTCTAACCTTCCCCAAGCGGTGCTGTCAGACTTCATCTGAGCCTTTGAAATTTTTCTAATAACAGGGATTATTTACTTAACTCTTTCAATATTTAGATGTTAAAGAACTGTGTGGGGTTTTTTTTGGTTTTTTTGGTTTTTTTGGTTTTTTTAATGCTGGGCTGCCTTTTATTTCTGTTTGAATACTATGGCAAACAACTTCTGTTTGTCCAGATTTACAATCAGGCTAATCAAATCCCATGTTCAAGGCTTGGCATAATAGCTAGTCAGGCAGGCTTCTTTTTGAAATATGACAGCCACGAATGCTTATAATCCATAAAACATGAGAAATTCAATACTCCATGTGTGTTTTTCCTCATTTTTGGTTCAGAGGAATAATCAGAAAAGCTGTACTTTTTCATAGGGCTTTTAAAATGGTATTTGGAAAAGATCTTTAAATCTGCTATCAGAAAAGAGGAAGGTCTGTGATGGCTACTGGTGTTGACCTTGTTACTATGGAAACATCTTTTTAGTAGTTGTGTTTTAAAAATAAAACACATAATTCAATTTCCTTTTCCCATAACTCATAAGGCTGTAAATTCTGCTTTTTTGATATGATTTCAAATATCTTATAGTCCAAAGACTTTCCGTTCTCTTTGGAAATAATCATTTTTATTGTATTTTCTAACCTTTTGCTTTCTTAAAAACTGAGGTGGCAAGGCAATTTAATTGCTTTCTAAAAAGTGTGCTAGTATCAAAATGTAATGACAGTTCTTCCTTTTTTTCAAACTACAATTAGGGGCATTATCACTGTGAAAACTTCATTCTGTGCCTCATTAATATTCCATTCTTTACATTCAGAATGGAAATGATAGCATGCAATCCAAATTTACAATTATTTTCTCTTCTTCTAACATCTTTCTTACAGCATTTTAATCCTTAATGTAGTATTCCAAACATAATTCCAAAAAGTGTGTCCATACTTTCAGCAGGCATTTATGAACATAAAATGTGCCATCTCCAAGGATCTCAAGACATATTAGTTTCTTTACCCCATATCTATTCTAGCCCTGAAATTCTATAGTTTCCTGCTGTACATAAAGAGGATCTAGAGGGGATTAAAGAAAGGATCAGGAAAAAACAGGTAAAGACAGAGGAATAGTGCATATTTGAAAAAGGGACTGATTAGTTCTGTCAAACACTAGCCATTGACTTTTTGTGATTAAATTATTGCCTTTTTTGTTACAAAACACAGCAACCATAGAACCCTAACTGCTTAAAGCAAAAGAAAATTTATTATCTCACATAACTTTAAAGTTCATGGGCATTCCTGTTATTAGATTTGGTTGGGTTTAGGAGTTTAATCAATGAAATCAGACATGGTTTCTCTTTTTTCACTTCTTGGCTTTGCTTCCTGTTTTGGCTCTAGTTTCTGAAAGGCTCTCCCCTCGTTGTGATGAGATGACAGTAGCAGAACCAGCCTACATCCATCCATTCAGGTCCAAATCTATAAAAAGAGAATGAGCTTTCTCTTTTAGATTACCTCCAACCTTACTTGGACTGATTAGCTCCAGTGAGGACCCATTATGATCCCAAACCCTAACATCATGGCCTCTGTTGACTTGCGTGTGTTTATGTTACACGCCTACTCTTGATGCTAAGGATATGGACAGCCCCACTCACTAAATCACATGGACAGAGAGTAGAGGAAAAGGCGATCCCAAACAAAGTCAAGGCAATGATGCCAGAAGAGGGAGTAGCCACCTGCATAGTACAAGCTATAGATGTCCACTTCAGCTGACAGGAGGTTACTGGTAACCTTTAGGAGTATCAATGAAATGATATGGATGGACACCAGGTTAGAGAGAATTAAGATGCAACTGAATGATAGGGAAGTGAATTTGGCAAATAACCACCTCCTTTTGTTTTTTAAGAGCATCAAGGAATGAAAATAACATGACAAAATAGTGGCTTGAGACAGTAAGATCTCCAATAAATACTTTCTTTTTTTTTTTTTTTTTACCATGGGAGATATCGAGCATGTTATAGGTCAAGCCAAAAGATGGAACCCAAGTCCCCCAGGAGATCTTGAAAAGTTGGAATTTATAATATAGAG